TTCATCTAAAAGCGTTGTTTACTTTTTTAAGTTTTCTTTTGCCAATTGAGTTTAATATGCCTAATATTGATGTGTTGAATAAAATGTGCCGAAAAATAAAACAAAGAAAAAAAGATTCTAAAAAGTATTTTGAAGCTTCAAAAAACAAAGCATTTTTTAAAATGCAACTGTCTCCAGCTCCACAAACAAAAAAACAAAAAAAATCAGCAGATGCAGATAATTTTTATATTTTAAATAGGAATAAGGAACTAAGTAGTCAAGTTGAACAATTAATTTCTAAAGAAAAAAATAATGTGGAGCAAATAGATAATTTAAAAATACAGGTATCAAAGTTGGAAACTGAAGTTATATATTTAAATTCTAAAAACAAGGCTCTCAACACACATTGTAACTCATTAAGTTCTCAATTAGAGACTATGAGTATTAGGCTAAAACAGGAGGAGCAGCTCCAACTTTAAAAAAAAAAAAAATTAAAAACAGCACACTGTAAATTTGCATCTGCTCGTGCCAAAAATGTAAGATTGCTAAAAAAATTTAAATTTGAAAAAAAAAATGCAAAAATCAGTGATATAAACAAGAACAGTTGCCGAATTTGCAAATATTTTGCTAGCAGTGATAAGGATTTAGTTGTCGTTGATTCTTATTTAGACTATGACAACATTGGTTCCTCTGAATTATTCTGTGGGTTTAAATTAGGTAATCCACAGACTATATCAGTTAAAAAACCAATAGTTGGTAAGAAATATACTTACATTAAGTTAGGAGATGGTAAATCTTATTCTAAGTTAGGTAGGCATGCTGCAGCTAGACGATCTAAACTTGCTTTTATATTCCTTCGATTATTAGCTCGTTCAGATTTGGAAAGTGATTTGTCTATGTTGTTTTGTGATTCTGTGTCTTGTGAAAAGTCTATGTTTCATTGTGCTGCAAATAAGTTGGGTTTAGTTAGGCAGTTAAGTGTTTCTGATGCTGTAGAGCTGCAGAGCCAATTAAGGATGCCCACGGCTGAATTCCGTAGGCTAAGACGTATTCTGTGTAATCTTGGTGCAAGGATTCTCCCATCTGAGCCCAAGATATGACAAGAACAAGAAATGCGGACAATGCATGTTAGTAAAGAACTTGTTACTGTAAAGCCCATGTTGCTTTATCCATCTGCGAATGAAGCACCTTGTTTAGTACCTGTATTGATGGTCAAGAATTTGATAACTTATATTGAAGAGATTTTCAATAGTCTGCACGTTCGTGACCACTTCAATTCTGATGTCGGTTTTTGCGAAGAGGTATGGCTCCTTTTTGCTGGGGATAAGGGTGGGAAGTATATGAAATTCCATTTTGAAGTTGTCAATTCTAAATCATCAGGGTCTGTATATGATGTTCATTTATTTTGTATGTATCAGGGTTCAGACTGTCGTGAGAATATTGCCTTAGTTCTCGGGCATTATGCCAACGACATTAAAAGAATTCAGTCGTCAGATTTTAAGCTAAAAGGCAAAATAGTCAGGTTGTTCTTAGGTGGAGATTTTCATTTTATCGATGATGTTCTGGGACACCAGGGTTCAGCTGCTAGCTTTCCTAGTTCTACAGACCTAGTTAAGTTGAATTCTCTAAGAAACCATGCTTCTATGCCTCACAAACCTGCTAATTGTAACATCTTAAGGAGGACAATACAATCTCTGGAAAGTGCTTACAATGAGAACTTGTGTGAAGATAGACAAGGTGGAAACCTAAGAGCTCTAGGTAAGTTTCATAATTCAATTATTGCTCCTGTGATTTTCTTAACTTTAGATAATGTAGTGCCACCTGTTTTGCATATTATGTTAGGAGTTGTGTTAAAACTTTATAAGTTATTGTTGAAGGAGTGTAAGACTTTGGATTGTCAAGCTGTTTCGTCTTTGTCGCATAATGAGAATGTGAGAACGAATGAATTGTGGGCTGCTAAAAGCTTTGAATGTTCTAAAACAGCAGACTCTTTACGTTTATTAGGAAATCAATTTGTAGACGTTGCAAATCTACAGACTCGTTGGTTAGCTTTTGATAAAAATATTTCTGAATTGGAATGCATATCTCTAAACTCCTCCAATAAAAAAAAAACTTGTAAACAGCAAGAAAAGTGTGCTAGTATCAGGTGTTTAATTACTAAATATGATTGTAACATTGATTGGGTGCAGTGTGGTACGTGCCAAAAATTGTTCCATCAATTTTGTGAAATTATTGGTGGTTCGGAAAAGAATGTATTGTGTGATATAGAGAAGTATGAGTGTTTAGCATGTCAGGGTGAAGATTTAGAATGTCTTGACTTTTATATTTCTGAAAAAATTTCTTTTATACGCGCACAGCGCGAAGTTTTAGACGTTGAGTATATTCGATTGCAGATAGAGTGTGAAGACCTAGAAAAAATATCTATAAGTAGCATGGGGACTCATGAGAGGTCTCTTTATAAGGCCCTTGAAGATATGAAAGTTGAGCGACAAGCTTACCATGGTAATGTATTTGTAGGTAATCATTGTAAAATAGTATTAAGAAACCACTATAAACTTTGTAGTGTTATTGATAATGAAGCAATTAAAAATAGATTTGTACGTAATGTTTGTTCAAAATAATAATAATTTTTTATTACAATGATTTTATATATTAGGTAGATGCCCATTCTGTTCCTATTTTCAAAAGTTTATTATATCTATGCAATGCCATTGCTCAGGTTAAAGAATGGAATAAAAGTCTAGCATCAAATGTATAGCTAACTATTTTAATTTGTGATCAGAGCAACTGGTATGTTTGTTGGATATGATTTTGTATGTTTATGTAGTTAATTCAAAAAACGTTTTATCCTTTGTTATGTAATATGTAACATTTTTTATATATATTAGATCTCCGTTCAATTTTTATCATCAAAAGTTAGTTCTACCTTCGCAGGACCTCTGCTCTACATACCTCCTCTCTGGTTAAAGAATGGAATATAAGTCTCATTTATCAAGTTGGTGTAAAAATTTAGCTTGATAAATTAAGAAGTTGTAAACTTTATTATCACAATTGCCAAGTTGACCAAATGTTCTTCTGGTTTTAAATGAATTATGTATGAGTCTAGTATCAACTGGGTGTTCAAAGATAGTTTACTGCTTGAAGAACTTATCAATGGACCAACTAATTATAAAACAGTTTTTAATGAAAATAAAAACGAATTATCATAAGATTTAAATCAGCTATTTGTGTATATTTAAACACTTTATTTTTTGTGAGAAGAGATTTTTGATACAAGTACCATAAAATAATTCTACTACCAAAAGCTAGGTTAATTCAAAACCTTTAACTCAATTTTGGTCATGAATTATTTTATTAGAATTGATGAGTTTTTATTTATTAACTACCTAACACCATATTATTAGAACTTTATTTTGTAATGTAATGATTTTATTAGCGTTCCAAAATAATTTTCTAAATCAAGAACTTCTATATTAAAAAAAGGACTCATTTAACAACTAATCCCCCCTTATAACGACGTTTTTCATAATTTTGCGAAAAATGTGGTTTGCTTTCACAATTCGATTAAGGCTGTTTTAGTTAACCTTAAATAATTAAGTAAGGTTTTTTTGTTTTCATTATTGTCAAACAATAAGTGTATTTGATAATAACTATTAGGAATATATTTTTCTAATTTTTTTTTTGATAAAAAGTAACATCAAATTACAAAAATTTAGCCAAATTCAATATATGTCATATTTATTCTAAACTAAAAGAAGTTTTTCTACTAATGCATTAAATGTCATAAGGTAAAATATTTTATTGATGTCTTAATTGTTTTTACAAAACAAAATTACCTCTTATATTTCAAAAGTTATAAAAGTTTTAGTAACACCCCTTTAGTCAATATTTTCAAAAATTAACAAGAAGCCGTTAAGCTCGGTTTGAAACAGCCGTGATATGCGCACGCAATAGCCCCGTCTTGAATTTTTTTTTTTTCGGTAGCGTAACTTCGGACCAAGTTAGTCAAGAAATCTTGCGACTTATCTGGCCCGTTTATTCGGCTGACGAGATTTCAAAAAATTATTAAAGTACTTTAAATTTTTTTTATTTTTACTGTTCGGTAACGTAACTTAAGGCCAAGTTAGTCAAAAAAATCTTGCGACTTATCTGGCCCTTTTATTCGGCTGACGAGATTTTAAAAACTTTTTAAAGCACTTTAAATTGTTTTATTTTTGTCGTTCGGTAGCGTAACTTCAGGCCAAGTTAGTCGAATTTAAATATATGATGATTGCCCCCTGACTAAATTAAAAGAAGCCTTTTCTAACGATAATTCTTTTAATGTTTTAAATAAATTTTAAATAATTTTTGATTTGGCATGCATTTACAATCTGTAAGGTATTTGCATGAAAATGGATTTATTGAAAGTTTACAAACTCTTTATTCAGAATTGTCAGTAAAGATTAATCTCCTTCATAAGTAGGTATGTGGATTGAAAATTTTAAATTGATCAAAGATTAGATTGTTATATATCATTAGAAAGTGCTTCAATACAGTATTTCAAAGGTGAAAAAATTATTAAAATCGGACTATTGTACAAAAAGTTATGACGTTTTTAGTCGCAAATTTTTGATATATGGATTTGTTGAAGAAACTGTGGTCAAAATTTAATTTTTCTTTACTTAAATTGTTATAACTTTGTCAATTCTTGTCTAAATACCTTTAACTTAGTATCAAAAGATAGGTGTAACTGTGGGCTACAAATTTATAACATCGTCCACCTATTAAGCATTTCCTGGGGGCTAGAGGGGGTGCCGAACCACCACCTTTACCCTAAAAATAAGCATATTTCTTTCAATAAAAAGTGTTTTTTTTCAACTAACGGTTATTTTTTTTATACAAAAAATTGCTATAATTTTATTCCAGACCATCAATGATTGATGTTTATTAAAGTTGGTGGTGGATATGGTGGTGATGGTTTAACACACCCTAATTTCAAAAATATTTAATTCTCTAATTATAAATAAATAAATATTTCTATATTTAATAAAATAAGTGAAACTAGTATACAGTATAAAAAACATAAAAATTTTTTTTGCTACAAGAAATTCATTTATTGGTGGTGTGCTTATTGACTTGTGGGAGGAGCGTGTGCCCCCCCCCCCCAACCTAAAAAATAAATAAGTAAAATAAATAAATCTTTATAATAACAATTATAATTATTTTAAAATAAGTTAACAATTTAAAACCTGAATTAGGCTTTTTGCACCAAGTATAACCTACAAGCTAAAGATAAAGACCACAACCAAGCCTACTTTTGAAAAAAAAGTCTTTCCGCTGCTATTCGTAAATTTTGGTTAAGTTGAGAAGTTTGTTAAATAGGGTGGTAATGGTTACCCACAACCTACAATAAAAAGATGTTGAATTCTTAAAAATAATTGTATCTTTAACAAACAAAATAAATTAGTATATTTCATTTTTTGATATTTCATTAAATATATTTTATTTCATTACCAAATATATCAGTGTTGTATCCTATAAAAAAATGTAACAATCAATTTTATATTGTTCTGTATTAAAACATTTTAGATATCCTAAGTTTAAATAGTTGTCTTAGCTTTTAGTAAATAATTAAAATAATCAATTTCATAAATGGAACACTATAATAATCATTTGTAACAATAGACACCACGTGAAGATAAGCCAGAGCTGCCTATCAAAATATTTTGCAAGTCACAACACTTGTGCAAAGGTCATTCCAAGTCAAATACTTTTATTCTTCTCTAAAAACATTTATAAAAAAAAGTAAACCAAAAACATATGGTTTAATACCAGGCATACCTGACTTGATATGACTACTTCTTCAAGTTATATTACTTACAATACCTTTATACAAGTTTCATCATATGCCGTATCTGTTTTGTAAGTTTTATCACTTGCAGTATCTATTTTTAAAGCTTCATTACAAGTAATATCATAAGTTGTTACATATTACACTTCAAAAAAAATCAACTCTCCTAGTCCAACATCAGCGGAAGCTGATATTTTTTCATGTTGTAGTCAACAGCTTCAGTATCAGTATTACCTTTATTCCAGTAAGAAATTGTGCAAACTTTGTCTTGTTTTGTTTTATCAAGTTTTTCTTCTCTACCATCATACATGACATACTTCGAATACTTACTATTGTACCATTCATGGCAAAGTTTTTGCCCAACAATTCTATCTGACATTACATCATCTTAGTCATGACGTTGTTTGATAGACAATGTATTTAAACACTTTATTTCATTGTAAAAGAGTTCAAGCAACTGTTATTTTAACTTTCTTTTGTCTTTTTCATCCATTTTTTGGCATTTGCATACATGTTTTTTTGAAATATCTGCTCATATATCATTATGCTTCATTTGATTTATCATCTCTTTTTATGGGTTTCTGAATAGATCACATAACTATATTTTTATGGGTTTCTGAATAGACCACATAACTATATTTTTATGGGTTTCTGAATAGACCACATAACTATATTTTTATGGGTTTCTGAATCGACCACATAACTACATTTTTATGGGTTTCTGAATCGACCACATAACTACATTTTTATGGGTTTCTGAATCGACCACATAACTATATTTTCTCTAGATAATTGATCTAAACTTTCTAGGTAATTTAATTTGTATGAAACATAACAAACTGTTGCATTAGGTGATCTTTCTTCAGCCTCACTAAACATTCCCATTAACTCTTCACTATTTATATCGTGCTGCCTTGCACATGCTACTTCCTCCTTGAGAGTCTGGTTAATAGAAAGTGAGAAATATCTCTTACATTGATGAGTTATGACGTCTCCTACTGCAATAAGACAAGCAAAAGTCATATTAATAAAGTGTTCATCAATCAAACAAAACATTTTTTATTGGATCTAAAATATTTGGTTCAAGGTCATTTTAAAAAGTGAACCTGGATTTGATTTAGAATCTGCAATTTTTAGTAAAATATTTTTTAATACCAGGATTCCACTATAATGGTCAAAATTTGCCTCCTCAACAGTCACACAAAATTTTGTCATCCAGGCTGGAAACTGGATGACAAAGTTTTATGTGACTTTGAGGAGGTGGTTTTCCAAATAATGCAAGCACACATTTTTGCTTTAGAGCTGTTTTGTTACAAAATACTACTCTAAGAACTTTTTGTATAGTTCTGCATATTACTGTTCCAATGGTTAAAAAATGCTCAAACTCATTAAATATTTTATAAAAATAAAACAAGTATGAAAATAAATATGAAGACGATTTCCTCGATACCTTGGAATGATACCTTGTGGTAGTTTTTGATCATCTAAAAACTAACAAATCTTTTTGAATCACCTTTGCCATGTTTAAACCTCAACTTGTTCATAGCCAAAACTATTTTAAATGCCATACAATCATACCCAGCCATGAGGTAGCAATTATATCAAGAGCGTGTAAATGGCAGTTTAGCTCATTCAAACTTTCCCCTTAAATGTCACACAGTTTGCTTATGGTAAGATGGTTAATTGCAACTTTGGCTGACATTACGTTTGATATATTTGCGATGATTGATTGATCACTATCATTAAAAGATGCTAAATGAAAATCTAAATAAAAGTTAGATGATCAACTGCTTTACATATATGCAAGCAAATATTCGTAACTAGCTATAAGCATTTTATTTGCCTTAATATTATGTACAACTTTAACTTATTTTAGCTTTTAAAGTTCTGAAATTTTCATTGCTTTTTTTTTAAGCTTTAAGATTGCATATTATCTTACTGTAATAATATGTCTGCAAATTTTGTTTAAGATCTCTAAGTTCAGCTCTTAAAACTTTAACAATTTGTTTCTTTTATGTAATTTTTGTCTCAGTACTTTCAACTTGTATGCCATGCTTTTTAATTTTGCTGTCACTATTACTAATTTATTTCAATACTTGCTGGATGTAACAGCAAGCTGAGAAGTTAAATAGGACAATCTGGTATTCAACCTTTTTTTTCTAGGGCTTATTTCTTCTCTTGATTCATGCCTATTCATTGTTAACAGAATGTTTGGAAAATAAAGGCTTGTGATTTAGTGGTGATAAATTACTTATGTGCTCAAGTGGTGAATTATCTAAACTACTTAAAACAGTAGTAAGAGAACTACTTGCAGGGACATGATGATAGAAAGATGGGCAAAATTTGTGCAATGCATATACAGGGTTCATTACAAAATTCCTTAAAATGACAACTATCCCTTGTAAAGTTGCAAAATCAACTTTTGCATCTTTTCAAAACCCTAAAGAAATGAGGTTTACAAATGTTTAAACTAAATAATAGTTATAACAAATGACTTGACACTGTTAATGAATAAAAAAGATACATATCTATTTTTACAACAACTGCAAGTTTTGGCAGATAAAAAGAAGTGTGTATTTAAATACTCTTTAACTGTACTAAGAACAAAAATTAAAGTTGCTTATTGTGCCTATTGCCGGGGCACAAAAAGCAACTTTATTTACAAAAAAAAATGTAAAGAAAGTCTTGAATAACTACCGAATAATGATATAACATTAAATTATAAACAATATTATACTTTTATTATTAAAAACATTTTTAATAATACTGTATTATTGCGTAATTAAAAAATACTATTTATACACACAGACAAAAATGCCAATGTATACTGACATCATAAAACATGTGATAATATAAAGAGTTTTTAAAATACCATCATACCTATAGCTAGAATTATAGTAATCAACGCTTATGTTTTCAATTTCAATGAAACCAATAAAATTTTAGAAACTATAAACAAGTCACACTAAAATAAATTTAAAAAAAAAACTTATATATATATATATATATATATATATATATACATGTATATATATATATACATATATATATATATATATATATATATATAATATATATATATATATATATATATATATATATATATATATACATATATACATGTATATATATATATATACATATATACATATATATATATATATATATATATATATATATATATATATATATATATATATATATATATATATATATATATATTATATATATATACATATATATATATATATATATATATATATATATATATATATATATATATATATATATATATATATATATATATATATATATATATATATATATATATATATATATATATATATATATTATACATACAACATAAATAATTACTAAACTAACCAAATAAAATTCAACTTGTTTGTACCCCTCTTACCACCCACTTACGGAAATCAGAAAAACAGAAATGAGGTACCAAAACTGCTCACTTTTATAGACTATCTGCTCAATAATATTTTTCAATGAAATTTGGTAGGTAGATAAAAAATATATGTAAAAAACTATCTGGGTAGGTTTGCAAACTATCTGAGCATTTCTTTGACAATAATTTAATGTGAGAACAACAACCAAGTTTTTAATACAAATAAAAGCAATACAAAAATTACCAACCACACATAAATGTTATGTATTAATCAAGTTTAACTATTCTTTTTTTCAAAAATAATCTAAGTTTAGTAATGTTTCTAAACAGAAACGCCACAAAAAAACGTTCGCCTGACGTTACCTAAAAAAAAGTTCAAAAAACCTGGCACAAAATTTTAGTACAAAATTCGGTTCCGTAAAACACGGATTTCCGCGTACCTATCATAAGTCAGATTTTTATCAGTTGTTGACTGTTCATAAGTCAATAAAGAGTAAAGCACGACATTCCTCAGGAGTCAAGAACAACTAGGCGGTGAAGTAAGATTTACTTTATTTATCCTAACAAGTAAAATAAAAAATTACATTTAAAATTTGTAAACATATTATCCCTGCGTTCGTTCATTTGGGGATGTAAATTTATATAGTAATAATATTATGAAATAAATTTTTTGCCTTGATCTAATTGGTTCAACTTTTTACCAAACTGATTTATTGTAAATAAATGATTAAATCCAAGTTTATTTTCCATTGAGCTTATTGTAGATTTTTTTTTACTTTAAAAATTTTTAATTGCTTTTTTTACAGATCTGATCAGATCTGTTTAAGCTCTGATCAGTTACAGTGATCAGTTACAGCTCTGATCAGTTACAGTGATCAGTTACAGTGATCAGTTACAGTGATCAGTTACAGTGATCAGTTACAGTGATCAGTTACAGCTCTGATCAGTTACAGCTCTGTTACAGATCTGATCAGATCTGATTCAGCTGAATCAACTGACAATTGCTTATTTAGCTCATTTTGGATTTATCTGTATGGTGATAATAGTCTGGCAATGGATTTAAAAATACTGACAGCAATTAATTTATATTTAAATGCCTCTTTTTACAGTAATCATCCATTGTTTGTAAGCTTGTGCTCAATGTATCCAAATGAGTTTTTATCAATTGATAATTTGTTAGCACTGTCTGTATCCACACATTTTATAGACTCAGGAAAATTAAAAAATGACCTTGTTAAGGAAGAAACATTTCATATGTGTAAAGAATTTTTATGGTCTGTGTTTCTTTGTGTTCTTGCTCTTTCAACTGTGTGTTCTACAAGACTTAAGTGTTACTATAGAACAGTTTTTTCCTAAAATATAAAATTATGTTTAATCTTAATATTGAACCTTATTCTATGTTCATCATCAGATATTGTTAATTTGTTGTTTTGTTCGAAGGCTTCTACTTTGAAAGATTTACAAATATAAAATTTGATTCAAAATAATTTTTGTTCCTGATGAAACTTCTTTTCCAAAAACAAATGGGCAATCTTTAAAAACTTTTATCATTAAAACAATTTTCATGGCTTAGATATTTACCTTCTGAAGATGGAGCATTTTGTTTGTGTTGCCTTTTGTTTAGATATAAATACCTTTTAAAAACTTCTAGATTTAAAAATTTATATTCTCAGTCATTCAAATATAGGCCAGATGCTGTGAGCACTTTTAGTAGACATTACCATGGGAAAAACAGGAATAATTATGAATATCACTCAGCTGAAATATTTATGAACATCATCACGCAGTACAAATTCTACATTATAATGCCTGGACCATATTTTCCGCAGTTTTAAATACTATGAATAGAAATATTTAAAATATAGATATTTTAATAAAGAATGTGAAAAGGAGATAGCTTTAAATTGTAAAAAGTTGTTTTGTGAGAAAGTCATTTTCTTAGGTCAACTTAATATAGCTTTCAGAGGTCATTGTGATGGTCATTGGCAAATATTCTTCAGTGGGTGGAGTAGGTAATTTTATTGAACTTTTAAACTACAGAATCAGAGGTGGGGATAAAATTCTTGAGCTTTATCTGAACAGCTGTGCAAGGAATGCATCTTATATTTCTAATTCCTCACAGAATGAATTAATAAGTTGTTGGGGAAAGGACATCCAGAATATTTTGGTTTCTGAAATAAAAGAAAATCGAATTTTTTCAGTTATTGCTGATGAAGCTTCTGACTGCTCCAATCAGGAATAATTGTCTTAATGTGTTTTTTACATTGTAAATTAGATACTGAATAAAGGTTTGTATATACACTGTATATATTAATCTTTATTCAGTATCTTTAAGATCTTCTTCAAATAGAAAGTTTGTATAATTTTTAAATTAAAAAATATAGTTATTTTATTTTTTACAGTTTTATTTATTTAAAAGGATTATTTATGTTATTTTAGTTGTTATTTTATTTTTTCATGAAGTTTTATTATCTTTATAAATTTAAACATGTCTAATTTTTATTGTATTCTTTTTTTCTATATTTATCTTTAGTTTTACCTGTCAATTGTTAATCGAAACTGGTACCGTTATGTACTGTATCTTTGGTATTTTAATTAGGAGCATTATATTCATTGTCTATTATATACTTTTTTTCCTTTTTTTCAGCTCTACCTTGAGATTTTACCTTGTGTGGTTATTTGAGTTGAAATATGGTTTTAATTTAGTAAGCTTTCATTATTTGAAGTTTACTTTATTGATCATTATTCAACAGTTTAGAGAAAATAAACACATGCAACACATTAACTGTAAGCATAACTTTGTTTACGAACATTAATATTACAATTGTTTAACATTATATAGCATATCTATCAATGAAATAAAATAAAAAAATGGGTTTTTATGGTTAGTTATATTATTGCTTTTGTGTTATTGCATTTCTCATAGTATGATAGTCATACTAATCAATTACATTATAATTTTTTTATAATTATGGTATTAATGTTATTACTTTTACATGGTTTTTATTCTATTTGCAAGTCACCTAACTATGCAAACCTTGTCTATTTAATTAATGATTTATTATACTCCATACAGGTGTATTATTTATATGTTACAATTATACACAACAATGATGCCCACAAAGTATTTTAATACCACAGACAATATTTTATTTTTGTAGATTTAATGGATCCTTGCTAGTTTTAATACTATATATATATATATATATATATATATATATATATATATATATATATATATATATATATATATATATATATATATATATATATATTAAATATGCAACCCCATTTGAGCCGCTTTTTTGAAGGCTTTGCAAATAACTTATTTATCAAACAAATGGGCTATTTTTTGTATTTCATCTTCATCCCCCCCCCCTCGTCCTTTCGTGGGGAGGGGGCAGTAAAATCCGCAACCGACTTTTTTGACTAACCTCTTTAAAAAGCTAAACCCGCCCCTGTATATATATATATATATATATATATATATATATATATATATATATATATATATATATATATATATATACATATATATATATATATATAATAATATGTATATATATATATATAATTAATATACGGAAAAATAATATATATATATATATATATATATATATATATATATATATATATATATATATACCGTAGCGTGGGGTAATTGACCACCCGTAAAAATTTTAACTTTAAAAGTCATATATAAAATAGATAATATCAATGCTTAGATCATTTTCAAGATATAAATATTTAAATTAACTTTTTTAAGTTGTATGTTGCTAATTACAACTGTTTTGGTCAAAAAAAAATAGCTGATAACATTTTAAATATATCACGATGCAGAATCATAAAATTCCGTAAAAACTAATAACTGGAAATACTAAGGAAAATATAGCTATATTATTAACTATATTTATTATCTATAACTATATTTATTATCTATATCATTTTCATTTATGTTAATCGTAATTAGTTGATATATTTTTATTATTTTATAACAAACCTAATTTTATCTAGTTTTGATATATATATATATATATATATATATATATATATATATATATATATATATATATATATATATATATAAATATATATATATATATATATATATATATATATATATATATATATATATATATATATATATATATATATATACATATATATATATATATATATATATATATATATATATTTATATATATATCTTAACTGTTACTTATTTTTAATTATTATTGTTATACTTATTTTTAATTATTATTGTTATACTTATTTTTAATTATTACTGTTATACTTATTTTTAATTATTATTGTTATAAATTTTTTTCTTCTTCTTCTTCTTAGCTTTTGTTTATTCTATTTTACTTTTTAATCATGGTAGTGAAACAACCATGCGGCATATGCTTTAAGGCGGTTGCTAAAAATTATTCAGCAATTCAATGTGACATATGTGACAAATGGATACACATAAAATGTAATCGAATTGACAAACTAACATATGAAAAAGTCAAAATTTTAAATACTTGGTATTGCCTAATCTGTACAAAAACATTTCTTCATTTTCTAACATTTCGGATCTTGAGTTATCTACCATACTTGCTGAAAAGCCACTGAAATTCAACGGAGTAAAAAATCTATCTGAAAATAAAAATTAAAAAAAACTTTTTGGGGACCTTAATGACTTATCTTCCACCTCAATTAACTGTGAATATGTAGAAGTTCCTATGTACAATAAATTGTCCCAAAATTCTTTAAACTATTTCCATATAAACATATCTTCATTACCTTACCATATTGATGACTTTAAAATACTATTAGCATCTTTTGACAATTTACCTGATATCATCGGGATTATTGAATCTAACTTGTACGATAACGATCTCTCTATAACTAACTTTAAATTAGAAGGATATGTATCCGTTCACACGCCAACTAAAGCTAAAAAAGGTGGTGTTTTAATGTATATTAAGTCTAACTTAAATTTTAAAATTAGATCTGAATTAGTCCTGCTTAAAAGTAAGGAACTCGAATCTATATTTATTGAAGTTATAAGTTTAAGAAAAAGCAGTCTAATAGTGGGTTGTTTATATCGCCATCCATTAATGTGTCCAACTGAATTTGTTGATTACTACCTAAATCCACTTCTTGAGAAAATTAGCTTAGACCAAAAAAAGTTTATGCTAATGGGAGATTTTAACTTTGACTTGCTCAAATACAATACCTATAATGAGGTATCTTATTTTTTAGAATCAATGGTCTCAAATTCTCTTTTTCCTTTTATTATACAACCTACACGCATAACCACCCATTTTAAGACAGTAATTTATAATATTTTTTTAAACTTTTATTCTTCTGAAATAATATCAGGGAACCTTACCGCTTTAATATCTGATCATC